ATGCTGTATCTGATACTGTAGACCAGTGCTGTATCTGATACTGTAGACCAGTGCTGTATCTGATACTGTAGACCAGTACTGTATTTAATACAGGGTACCAGTGCTATATTTAATACAGGGTACGAGTACTGTATTTAATACAGGGTACCAGTGCCGTATCTGATACTGGGTACCAGTGAAGTATCTGATACTGGGTACCAGTGCTGTATTTAATTCAGGGGACCAGAGCTGTATTTAATACAGGGGACCAGTGCTGTATTTAATACAGGGTACTAGTGCTGTATTCAATACAGGGTACTAGTGCTGTATTCAATACAGGGTACCAGTGCTGTATTTAATACAGGGTACCAGTGCTGTATTCAATAAAGGGTACCAGTGCTGTATTCAATACAGGGTACCAGTGCTGTATTTAATACAGGGTACCAGTGCTGTAACTGATACTGTGGACCAGTGCTTTATTTGATACAGGGTACCAGTGCTGTATTTGATACAGGGTACCAGTGCTGTATCTGATACTGTAGACCAGTGCTGTATCTGATACTGTAGACCAGTGCTGTATTTAATACAGGGTACCAGTGCTATATTTAATACAGGGTACTAGTGCTGTATTTAATACAGGGTACCAGTGCCGTATCTGATACTGGGTACCAGTGAAGTATCTGATACTGGGTACCAGTGCTGTATTTAATTCAGGGGACCAGAGATGTATCCGATACAGGGGACCAGTGCTGTATTCGATACAGGGAACCAGTGCTGTATTCGATACAGGGAACCAGTGCTGTATTCAATACAGAGGACTAGAGCTGTAATTAATACAGGGTACCAGTGCTGTATTCAATACAGTGTACCAGTGCTGTATCTGATACTGTGGACCAGTGCTGTATCTGATACAGGGTACCAGTGCTGTATTCAATACAGTGTACCAGTGCTGTATCTGATACTGTGGACCAGTGCTGTATCTGATACAGGGTACCAGCGCTTTATCTGATACTGAGGACCAGTGCTGTATTTGATACAGGGCGACCAAGGCTGTATCTGATACTGGGGACCAGTGCTGTATTTAATACCGGGGACCAGTGCTGTATCTGATACTGGGGTCCAGTGCTGTATTCAATACTGGGGACCAGTGCTGTATCTGATACTGGGGACCAGTGCTGTATTTAATACAGGGTACCAGTGCTGTATCTGATACTGTGGACCAGTTCTGTATCTGATACTGTGGACCAGTGCTGTATTTAATACAAGGTACCAGTGCTGTATTTAATACAGGGTACCAGTGCTGTATTTAATACATGATACCAATGTTTTATCTGATACTGGGGACCTGTGCTGTATTTAATACAGGGTACCAGTGCTGTATCTGATACTGGGGACCAGTGCTGTATTTAATACAGGGTACCAGTGCTGTATCTGATACTGGGGACCAGTGCTGTATTTAATACTGGGTACCAGTGCTATATCTGATTCTGTGGACCAGTGCTGTATTTAATACAGGGTACCAGTGCTGTAATCAATACAGGGTACCAGTGCTGTATTCAATACAGGG